GTGGTGGGGTGGGGGTGTCCTCCGCGAAGGGGTGTTTGTCCGGCAACCCATATGCCACCTAGCCTTGGCACGACCCTAAGAATGCTTGTCATAGATGTGGGCAAGGCATGCAAAAGTCCGAGACCTGAGAAATGTGGGACATATTGCTAATGGAAGCCCCATGATGGTTGAGGGAGGCAACACATGCATGAGCATATTGGGCACAACTAAGCAAGGCAAGGCATGATAGTGTGGGCTAATTAAGGTGCAATGCACACTTGGAAGACCAAGTCATGGGTTGATCATGGCTTGGCAAGCTGGTAGGTGAAGATTAGGTGTTGTGGGCTGACAAGGACGGCATCTGTGCATCATGTGGGGTGGTTTTGAGCAATTGGTGACTGAGTTATGCGGTGGTTACGAAGGCAAGCTATGCCAGATGCTTCTGATTGGTTCAACAACATTGTAAGGGTGTGGCAAAACCACCCAGATCCTTGATGGTGAATCTGATTGGTGTCAGCATATCCTAGTAGTTGGGGATATCAACTGCATTGACTGATTTGGCCAAAGCTAATTGGTGCCAATATTACCTAGGCAATTGGGTTGTAATGACCATGTAGGTTTAAATACATATGCTAGGGTCTGCAGTACTCTTATTGGGCATGTTTTGTAATAGACCCTTGGCCGTACACCTTTATGCTTGTTGAGAAGTAAAAGGTTGGGACATTGTCCTGTAAACTCGCGTGGCTGCTATTTGCTTGATTGTTGTCTATTACCTGTTCAATATACTTGTGTGCGTTTGGCTGAAACTGAGTGTGGGACCTTGGTGCCATTACAATGCAAAAATTCTTGTGTAATTTGACCCCTGTGACACTAGATATTTGGGCTATGTTTTCCGGCCAATAGAAATTGAACCCAATAGGTGAATTTTCGGATATGATTTTGGTGCTATTAGTGGTTGACCAATCTGTGAAGTGTTCAATGGGATTTGTGTATAGAAATTTTACTTTAATCCTTTCCTTCTTAAACTTATTTTTATTCTAATATCGAGGTTGCAATGCTAAAACAATTTTTCTTTCTACAGCTCCGCAGGTTCTTATCTTTTTGTGTCGCACACAGGATTTGGAGGGGTTGCCTATGCGATGGCTATTATTTGTATAAGACTTGAAGCAGAGGCGAACATAGCATTGAATGTTTCACGATTACTGGTTGGCACTCCACATCCATTTGCTTCACCCGTACAGAACTTACCTTCCCAAATTGATGAAGAAGCACACAAAATGGGTGATTATCGGGACATACTAAGCCTTACTAGGGTTCTTGTGCATGGTCCTGAGAGCAAAGCAGATGTTGACATTGTAGTCGAAAGGTATGCCATTTCTTTCGCCGACAAATGGATGGTTGTCTCATCACAATGCTGACTGACTACTTGCACGAGCATAAACACAAATACGTATTTTGGAATTCAGTGGGAAACATGAAAGTGTTTCTTCTGTGTTGCAACTCTTTGGCAATTTTTTTATATCTTCTATTTAGCTAATACACAAATTAAATAACATGATCGAAGATATGTTCATTTTCCCTTTAGAGACCAAAACAGTCATCATTTCCTATTATCGATGATGTGAAATCAGTAGCAGCTTAGTTTGTAAAAAGGAAATAAAAAATTTAGAGCAACAGCTGAAGTGGATAATATAAGAACGAAAAAGAACAATCTTGAATGGAAAACGCAACTGCCAAATGATGTTTGGCCAATGGGAGATGAGTCTTTTACTTGAATTTATTTCTCTGTCTTTCTTTCTTTTTCTTCTTTTTTTTTCTCTTTGCTTCTCAACTGGCACACAAAAATCCCCCCAGATTATTCTATTTGGTGGGTAAAATATTGGTTGACATATGATTAGCTGATATCTGTTCTCACATATAATTTATGCATATCACTTAGCAAACACTGAATTTTCTGATTTTGGGCGTTGCACCCATGGTATGTCTACAATAAATTAGTCATAACTCTTGACATATGACTGCCAACTCCAACAATGATGAATAAATTTACCTAGTTTGCTACTGATTCTTTATCAAATGAATGGACCTATCTATTATTTCGGTTTCCACTTCCCCTTTCTGGTAGTGCTGAATTTGCCCCTATTTTAAAGGTGTGCAGGCGCTGGGCATTTGCAAGATGATATCCTTTACTATTGTATGGAACTAGAGAAGTTTCCAGATGATGATGAGCATCGAGCATACCTTATGGACATGGGTATTAGGGCTTTAAGGTTTGTTCAAGTTCTCAGCAAATGCATCCTGCTGCATTTATTGGTTATGGCACAGTATTCCTTCTCTCTTTTTGAGTGGCTGTACCTCAATTCCATCTGTCATGTGTTTCTGCTGCTTCTAATTGATAAATCTTGTTTTTTTACCCAACAAGAAAATCATAATAATCTTGACAATCCCAGGATTGCTCCTGAATCAATATTAGTGTTTTTTTTTGTTTATTGGTTGTTTAGGGGGAGGGAAGGGTAAGGAAGGATGGATCATATGATAAAAACAACTACATGAACGTTATTAGTTTGATTCATAGTGGTTGTGGTATTCATACAGCTGCAAGCAGACCACAAGCATTAAGCATCACGTTTTTGACTAGTAGAAAATTGGTGCTATCTATGCACAATATAGTTTATGGAGGAAGCTTTCAACCTTGGTTGGCGATCACAAAGATTGGTAGCAGGGGCTGAAACTTCCATGCTCAACCAAATGCGCAGTTGCACCACATTGCATATAACAGCTGATGAAATACATTGAAAAGCATTAATTTTGTTTTCCCCAAGATTGAATTGACCTTAAAAATTAAATTGCTCGTGGCTGCTCTTCATTTTAGCTCATCAGCTCAACTCTCTGTACTCGGCAATTTATTATTACTTGTCTGATAAGCCCGTGTAATTCGACCTGTGTCAAAAACGAATAAATGATGCACAAGCATATGCATTGCGGTGAGGCAGACAGGAAGGAAAGACCTGAAATTGTCTAACAAAACAATTTTATTTCCCATTGGCAGGCGTTACTTTTTCCTCATCGCATTCAGATCCTACCTGTACTGCACCTCTGCAAGTGAGATGAAATTCACCACATGGATGGAAGCGAGGCCTGAACTTGGTCATCTGTGTAATAATCTTAGGATCGACAAATGATCTGAGGCATATATTTTTTTCGAGTATGTTATGTACAGTTTGCAATCTGTTGTGCTCTCTCTCTCTCTCTCTCTCTCTCTCTCTCTCTCTCTCTCTCTCTCTCTCTNGTATGTTATGTACAGTTTGCAATCTGTTGTGCTCTCTCTCTCTCTCTCTCTCTCTCTCTACTTATTTATAATGCTATACAAACTCACAATGACACATTTTTTTTCACCGTTGTGGCATTCTAACACAATTTGCGATATCAGCAATTAAAATTTTCAAAATAATAAACATTGAAATGTATGGCTTGTAGGTCAGTTAGAAAACCGTGTTTTCATTTAGGAAATTAGACTCGAGAAATGTTACACAGCTAATTATCTAATTACGTAGATGTTAGATGTAACTTATTTAATTACGTAGTCATGTTTTGCAAGAAATGTTAGGCAGCTAATTTTTAGTCATGATTTGCAATTTTCTTATCTAATTACATAGATCTAACTTTATCCGATTATGGTTAGATTCAATTGCATTTTATCCCACAGCCTTAGAAATAGAAATGAACACACAACTTAAGGTTGCTAGATCAATATACACTATTTCAATTTTCATCCGGCCTATCCATATGTATGAGGGGGGTAATTTTAATACTCGATACGAACCGGAAAATAATATGATTTATTATCCCAGATAATGCCCTTTTGAAATTGGAAGGGTGTTTACTGGCCGTTGGATGGGTTACGTGTCTCGATGGCTTATTAAGGCCCTTGGATACTTGTGATGCTTCATATATTTTTTGACTGGTCACCTTAGTTGTCTAACAGCATATTCGGGGTGGGCTTTTTCGGTTTTCTGCAGCCCTTCTATGGGTCCATGATGAACAGGGTTATTAGACAGCTGCACTGGGGGAGAGTCCATGTTGTTGTTATTCGACTTGGGTAGTTACTCTGGGCTTTTGTCCTCCTGGGCTGGGGTATGTAGATCTAGCACTTGAAAGCTATTTGTCCGCCTTGGTCCACTCGTGGGGGTGGGCTTTGTACAAGAGGTTGTCTTTCTTCTCCTTGACTGGGTCAACATTCAAGGTCCGAAATTATTCTCTTCCTCCAGTGGGCTGGGCCATATTCTCTTTCTCTTGTCTTTCCTGGTGAACTTCTCCGATTCCGGTGGCATCAAATATGTTTAGTAAGCATCACGTGACCTACACTGTCGCAGGCAAAGCATATCAAGTGGAGTTTGGGGTGTTGTGAATCTGGGACGAATGGGATCCATCCTCCTGATCCGGATGACAAATCTCTATAAGGTTGTAAAAAGCAATGTTAATTGTTAAGGATTAAGCTTCAAGTATTTTGTCACGCGGGCTTCACATGACTTTCTTTAAGTCTGGGATCAAAAGACATGTTCAAAATTTTTACCATGTAGTGGATGGCTGACTGATACGATGTTGTTTCATTGACCTGCATGAGGTGGTAATAAATAAAAAGGTATGAAATATGGTGCCACCTGTTGTTGCCATATACATGAAAAACCTACATTTAATCAGAATGCATGTTTCGAAATACTTTGTGATTCTTCTCGAATGCACCAAAGGTTCGTCTTTATCTCCGTGCAGAGTCTGCCTTCAACAAGACGCACAGGCAACCACAGTTTCGGCTCTACATCAACAACATATGAAAGAGTTGTACGAAATTCTTGGGCAGCCAAAGCATCACCCTCTTTGCATCTCCCTGTTTTGCACTGCACCACCAGTTTTTCCAAATAGGTATCAGCTCTTCTATAATGATCAGTCCATCACCGAATTCTACATTGAGTTAGCAAAACATAATACACATTAAAGGTAAAACTCACTAAACNTTTTCCAAATAGGTATCAGCTCTTCTATAATGATCAGTCCATCACAGAATTCTACATTGAGTTAGCAAAACATAATACACATTAAAGGTAAAACTCACTAAACTTAAGAACGTGGAGCTGATTTCCAAATTCAATGGTTTCAGAACCCCCAGATATTTCAAATGTCGTTTTTTTTTTTTTTGTGTGTGTGTGGAGAGAGGGAGCTTACAAGCTTAAAACTCACTTCCTCTTCAACCCATTCAGAACAACCTTTAAAATGCTTTCATACCACAATATATGAAGCAAAACCTTAGATTGAAGATCGAATACACATGCTCCTATTTGAGAGTTTTTGTGCCACATTATTTCATTGAGAGTTTTTGCGCCACATTAGGGCTTTCAACTAAGTGTCCAAAACTGTAAAATTATTTCACCTTTTTAACACAACAAAATAATGCAAGGCAAGTGATGCAAAGCCTCAGGGGAGTCATATCCCATCTCGTGGGCGATATTTGGTGGCCTTATGAGATATCAGGATTGGACACACATCCTGAGATGGCCTGCAAATCATCCCGACATACATCAAAAATACTCGGCAAAAATCTTGAGAAGCAAGTTTGGCCCTTGAAACAAACTCCAGACCCTTTTTTTGTCATTTTTTCCCTCACTTTCATATAACTTGGGCATTTAATCAGCATATCATGTGTGCCAGGTGATGCCCCATTTTTAATGTATGAACGTAATGTTTTGCTCTTAATATTTGAACATGTTTCTTGACTTTTTGAAAGATAAGTGTGAGCTTTCTTGTATTAGTTCTTAATAATTGTGCATGAAATTTAATTTTTTATATTTTATTTTTATTAACTTTTATGGGTGAATGTTTATCTTGACATATATAATATGACGTTTTCAAGGCATTTCCGTCCTCCCACCTCCCACTCTATGTGATCTAGGACATACCCCATGTCCCACCAAACCAACAACCAACAATACCCCCAAAAAAATTAATGAAGCCTGAGAAAGACTGAACCCCCAGATATATTCTATATACATCCAGTGAAAGAAACTTCNCCCATGTCCCACCAAACCAACAACCAACAATACCCCCAAAAAAATTAATGAAACCTGAGAAAGACTGAACCCCCAGATATATTCTATATACATCCAGTGAAAGAAACTTCGCAATTTTTTTAACGACTACAAGGAACCCCATATCTTCCATTTTTCATTCCACCGCCCATGCACACTTAATGTCATCCCACTGGCGACCAGTCAGTGAACCCCATCTCTTCAAAAATGTGTTTAGTTTTCAAATGATAGATAATTTAGATAAGAGAGCTACAGATATAGGAAATACGAAGCAAATTAGAAGCAGGAAAATAAACCAAACCTCTTCAATTGACCACCTTCCTTCAAAGAGTTGAAAGTCACCTTCAATCATCTTAAACTCAATATTACGCCTTTGACCGAAAGGAAGAGTTTCAAGATCTTTTTCAAAACAATCAATAATTCCTTTAGCATTAAATTTCAGCCCAAATGCCAAATTCTGCTGTCCAATCTGTTGAAATAATGGAGTAGCAGTATAAGGGTCAAACATATGAGAACCAAACCTGATTTCTGGGCAGAATTGAATTAAACATAGAATTTAATTTCACTTCCAAGGGCAAAATCCACAAGCACTAGACAAAGCATGTTTAGACTGGCATTTCATTGGAAAATTCCTAAATGCAAGCATCAGATAAAAACATAATCACACACAAGTCTGACACTAATGCCAGTGAAATGATCTGAAACCAGAATTCCGTATTTTGAGTCAATTGAATGACAAATTTTCAGATAAACTCTCATGCCTCCAATAACAAAAGTGGTCTACACACTAAGAAAATTGATCTGGGATTGTGTGTGTGTTGTTGGGGGGGTAACACAAACAAAAGTCTTCACATCCCAGTCTGAGGACCTCTGGAAGGAAACCAGGGTAGAATGGAAACTTCCAAAATCTCAATTAAAAATCAGTTTGTCCTATATCATTCAGAAAATAAAGTAAAACCAAAACTTCATATGTAGAATTGGAAAGAACAAAGGCAAAGAACGTAATCTCCTACATCCACAGCCTCTATTTCAACCTTTAATGTTGGCAGAAGGAAAGACCAAGGTGCAAAAAAAAAATCTTCTTGGCATTAAAAAGGCCTATGTAGTGAAAGCACGGACAGACAATTCAATATGGACAAGCCAGCACAAAGAATTCAACACACTTAGGACACCCACACAGTTATAAATAGGCCATGCAAATTCGTATAACACGTGATACAAACCCTTGATCAATCTTTTACATTACCGATGCATATCTTGAAAGATAAAACTCAACAATTTTAAGAATATGAGACAGGCTGTTTTCACTTGTTTCAGTTGATGTATGCTATCATAAATATTTACGACTAATAGTTTATATCAAATAGTCATGTTAACAAGTGAAAACATGATTATTTGATATAACTTTTACCGGTAAAGTTGCGTACATCTAACTTTTACTGGTGGGAGCGTTGTGCCCTGAGCTATCCTTTTATATTTCAATTGAAACAACTGTTTCATTTTGTACAAGTGCCCATTGTATGTTTTTCTTGTGTTTGCACATTATATAATATGGACTTCCTCTTTTAATAAGTAATGATATTTGCAGTTAAAACATGAAATTAAAAATTCATGACTCTATATTGTCAAACATATCAATAAATCTTGTATGAATGGTTTCTATGCTAGAAAAGCCATATCTACCGTCCAAAGTTTGTAAGTCACATTTTAGAGAATAACCAAGAAATGTATCATGAATTTGGAATAAACCATAGCTTTTTAAATTGTCCAAACACGACAAATGTGTTGAATGAAAATGTCTAAGGAGAGCTGATGTCCAGCCCATGCTTGATGTGAACACAGCTACTTGTTAGAATATCCATCCTTATTAGTTCGTAACTTGTATATCTCTTGATGTATGCATTATTCTGAATAAGGGCCAATTGATTGTGTTAAACTTTTTTTTTTTTTTNCCTCCGTGCTAGAGCGTGCGACAGTTGGTTGTTTGCGAGGACTCCACATAACCCAAAATACAAGCAATACCCACTAGTAGAGCGACGATAATTAGGGCAACCATCCCAATCAACATTCGAATATGCACTTAAGATAGTAGAAGATGAAGGACGAAAGAGAAGGCCTTGACTAATTGTATGCTAGAGATAGCATAATATGTGTTTCACAGCTGACCAATGTGACATTGTGGGACAACACATAAATTGGCAAACACGATTGACTGCAAATGAGATATCGGGACGGGTGAAGGAAAGGTATTGCAAGGCCCCAACAGTATTGTGATACAAGTGATGATCAGAAAAGGGTGCACCGACTAGCTTGGAAAGAGGAAGCGTAGCAGCCATGGGAGAAGTCACGGGTTTGGCAAGATGCGTATTAGTCCACTTGAGAAGATTGTGAATATAACGTTGCTAACATAGATGCAAGGGCACGAGATAAATGTCAAGCTTCGACACCAAGGAAATAATGTAAAGAGCCTAAGTCTATCACGCCAAAATCGCATCGTAGACTATTAATAAGAGAGGAAATAGTTGCGTATTGAGAGGCAATAACAAGAATATTGTCAACATAAACCAGGACAAGAAAGGGCACACTTGGGCTGTCATAAATGAATAATGATGAATTTGTCTTGGAAGACCAAAAACCAACCTCAAGAAGCCTGTGGATAAGCTGGGAAAACCATGCGCGTGAAACTTGTTTTAAGTCATATAAAGCTTTATTCAATTTTCAAACAAAGGAAGGAAATTGAGGAAGGTGAAAACATGGAGGTTGCTACATAAAGATAGTTTCCATGAGGTAGCCACGTAAAAATGCATTTTGAATATCGAGTTGGCGAATGTGCCAACCCTGAGAAACGACAAGAGAAAAAAGTAAGCGAATGGTATGAGGTGTGATAACCGAACTGTAGGTCTTATCGTAATCAACACCCAATTGTTGAGAAAATCATTTGGAGACTAATCGCACTTTATACCGTTCAATAGAACCGTCAGAATGCTGCTTTAATTTGAAAACCCATTTACAGCCAATTATATTCATAGATGATGTCGCGGGAACATGACTCCAAGTATTGTTTTGTAGGAGAGCATCAAATTTCGAATTCATGGATGATTGCCAAGATGGATGTGTTACGGCCAAAGAGTAACAAGTTGGTTCAATTTTCAAGTGAAGAAGTAGCCAACATAGCCCAAGGAGGAGGATAAAGAACAATCCCATTACTATATTATTTTTCTTTGACAATATTATTGCACAATCGAGTGACCATGGGATGAATGGAATGTGAAGGGGATATCGTGGCAGTTGCTGAAGATGAGGAGACCACTGATGGATGATCAGTAGAAGAACATGAGGAGTTGGCGGGACTCTAGTGTGGCTCTTCAGCCCCCGGGTTGACACGTGGAACAATGAAGCCGTTGAGATGTCCAAAGAATACTGAGGAGGTAAGCTGAGATATGGTGACATGGAACAGCCGAGTACGATAGCTGACATCGTATTTAATGCGATGTGATCCCACATTTATGGCGGAATGAGTGATAGTGACAAGACGAACAAATGCGCGTCTGCCCT